TGTAATATTTTGCACCTATTTTACTATATAAATTCTTGAAGCACTGTCCGTAGTCTAAAGAAAGAAGACTCCATTCTCACGAAGCTCCTTTGATCAACTTTTTACGTTATTTTTTGTTTATTTGACTTTGCTCCGGCGCTTTGTTTGTTGATCTTTTTTTGCAAACTAATAAGCTAAATATTTTGATTGGACCCGTGGCTGCAAATCCAGAGAAACAATGCCGAGAATCTTGAAATTTGCACGCTCACAGACACATGATTAAATTTGGCGTTGTCTTTTCGCTTTGAGAATGGGACTTGGGGGGAACTCTCTCGGATGATTGGCAAATTGCTCAAATTTAAGACCCGAGTCAAGGCTATATTTAATGCCTTTTTCTGTTGTTGGTTTTCATCTGATAAGACGCACTGTTGCTATTTCTGCGCTACTGGTGCTGGACAAACACAGTTTGTCTAACCGGAATTTCGACTGCTTCCGCTGGATAAGTCGGGTTCCATTGACTCCAAGCAGCAGCGAAGCACCCCAAACACTTGACTCCTCCTCGATTAGCCAAATTCCACAGACTGGCCAAAAGCCGACAAGCGAATAAAACACGAAAAAAGGCAACGAAAAAAGCTAGAGACAGCTTCATAATAAATAAGCTTAAATGCGAACAACCTGCTGGCAATTGTTTATGGCCCAAGTCAAAGAAACTCGAAAGCCCAAGAGTTTTGGAGCGAGTTAGAGGCGGCGATGGAGAAATTTCACTTGCCAGAAAGGAAGGCAAGAGCAAGTTTCAAGGTTGCCGGCTATAAGATAGCTCACGATCTGCGCAGATCCAAGATATAATGGCACTCAGGTGGGGCCCCAATTCGCTCTGGGATCGAAACACAATGGCAGCCATAGGTGAGCGTCAATCAAAAACATATTATAATAGTGCGAAAAAATGCCAGGTTCAAAGTTTTACCACAAAGCTAGATTGGCAAACAAATTTTGGAGTGATCTGTCAATTCCAATACTTTTTTATCAGAGATTAGAAGCGTTTTTGAAGTTTCTTCACTTGGTAATTTATAAAATAAAAAATTCAAGTTGAAATGGTAGAAGTAATTCATATGTAAATATAACAAATAATAATAACATAATAGAAATTCTCGACCGCAAACTTAATTATGACGTACGAACGATCTTGCACTTTGAACTTTAGCCAGAAGTGATCACTAATCACAAGGCAACAAAGTAACAACTAAAATTCCACAACGTTCCCATGAAAATAATAATTTCCCTCTGAAACTTTATGTGTGGGCACATTTCCTGCGTTATTTATTGTTGTGCCGGGGTACCGCTGGTGATAAGCTTCTTCTGGGCAGATTTTGTTGTGGTTTTATTTTGGCCACATGCAACTGAAAGGCGACTCTGACTTACAAAATACTAAAATAAAAATCAGAAAAAAAGAAAGCAAACTTCGAGTGCGAGTACAAAATACAAGACGAGAGGAAAACCAGTTCCAGAGCAAGTTTACTTGTGTTGTTGCGACGGCGGCTTGGCTCTTATAGCCTTGAATGTGCATTTCACGTTGTCGCTGGTTTTCATTTTTCAGTTTTCGGTTTTTGGCGCGCGCTCAGGAAAACATATAAAAAAACTGGTTAAAGCCAGCCAACCAGAGTTGGCCAACATTTTCCCAAAGCTCCCCGAACACATAAACAAACAAAAAAAACCACAAAGTGATAGACAAGTGAAATGAGCAGCCAAAGAGAGCGAAAAATTCTGTAGTCTCTAGTTCCTAGCGGTGTTTTATTTTGCACACAACTTACGGTTATTTTCTAATTACTTTCCAAGCTATTTGCATGCACTGAAAAATAATTTTAATTTATGCTTGAGAGTTAATTTGTAATTAAAAAACACACAATATGATACTCATTAGCAATATTTCTTAAAATAGGATATATTGTCAAGTTTTTTTGCTTGAATTTTGTTTTCTGCATTTACTTTTAAAAAGTTCAGAGAATAACATTTCTCCTTTTCTATCAATAAAAACGGAAATGTCAAAATAAAATAACTTTGATTATAAAAAAAGCCATCGTTATATTGTATGCCATGTCAACTCCCCTTGCCTTTAATATAAATTATTTCCTATCATATTACGAATGACTTATGATCGATTTTGAATTTCTATACTGGTTAAAATACAATATTAATCAAAGTATTTGATTTTATTTGATTTCTTGTATTTTTTGTGGTTGTAAGATAATACTAAGCATTAACCAATTGAACAAGATGAGATCAGTCTAAATACATAAATAGCAATCAGTCAATAATTAATTAGACCACTTGAAAAAAATGAAATAATTTCCTTAACAAAAAAAAACCTCGGGATTATCATTAAACCCATCATTCAAACTGATCGTGTCAGGCAGCATTTTGTTGCCAAAGGGGGTTCTCCTCCGATCGTTGGTCTTATCAATTTGGCAAGTGACATACGTTATTTTTAATGTTTTCTGAATAGATTATTTACAATCAATGATGTTGGACTTGCACCCACAGATAAGCACAAAATGGGTTAAGCAATATTGAATAATATTGCATGTAATTGACAATGTCAACGGAAACAGATCGGAAGAAGGCGGTCGTATATAGCGGAGCGGTCTGAAGAACCGAGTCCGAGTTCAGCAAGTCAATTGCCATTAAACTGGGACGAATGGAATTTTATTTAATTAGGGGTAATTGCAACTCCCCCAGAACGCTTGCACTTGAGCAATTACTGCAATTAGGCTATGGTTTTTATCTTTACGACTCAGTCCCTTTGATTTGATATCCACTCGAGAATGTTGAAGAAATAGGAAAATTGGTAAGAAATTTGGTATCATTTCACAGATTTTATAACTTTTATAATTTCTGATACAATGCAATCGAAAAATTACCCAATGCTCCAATTTCACTAAAAATTCTTCCTATCGAAAGTTCAAGCTAATAAGGTTCGACTGTAAATGCTTCATAAATGCTGACACAGCGATAACACTACTCATTTCGGGTTAAAAATCACCAAAAGTGGTTCTAAATTTGCTTTTTTGTGGCTTTGATTGATGGGCGGGCGGTGCGGTGTGTTCCGAAAATAAAGCCGTGATTGATTGGCTCGTTGGCTGATTTTGAATGGGATTATATGCATAGTTTACACTGACCAACAAAAAGGGAAAGGGAACTTTAAAATCAAATAAAAAGTACAGCGCACAAATTGCGCAAAATGCCAAAGAACGAACGCCACACCAGCTCCAATCAGACGGCAAACAGCTCCAGTAAGAGCCAGCTGCAGTGCAGACATCTAATTGCCTCGAAAGGGTGAAACAGCAACAACAAAGCGCCGAGTTATAAACATAAGCGCATGTGCATTTGTATATTTTGTATACTTTGTGTGTATGTTGTGTGTGGGGGAATGTACATAAGAAAATATTCAAAATGGACCAACTGGGTCTCTCCTCATTCCCAATAGGAATTGTATTTCGCCTGCAGTTTGACAGCCACTGGACGAGTGTGTGTTGCCGTTCTTGCACTTTTCCTGCCGCGATCGGCATCTGTTTACACTTGCACAAACGCTTGGGGTCGAAATACTAGTATCTTGTTTTATAAAATATTTTTAATTAATTATATTTGGCAGATTAGAGTGAGGGAAATAGGGAGAAGGACGATTACTTTATAAAAAAAAAACTGGAAATAATGCTATTTCATAATTTAACAAAAATTGGAGTCGGCATCACTGCACTGCTAATGTAATTTAATTTAATGTAATTTATAAATTTGTAAAAGCGCTATCAGATTTATTGATAACTGTTATTTACAAGAATTGAAAACTATAAGATTTATTTATTTATCAACTGTTTGCATTCATTTTAAATATTATTTAATCAATTAAATGCAGTTTTTTAGTGTGATTATCGTGGTGACACAATTGTAGGCGAGATGCCGCATTGGGGGCGTTGGCATCGCCCCTCCTTTTACATCTCCTCCACCTCCTCTGCCGTCTGCACTCTTTTCTCCTTTCTCTCAACTTGGCCTTGTTGCACTTCTTGCTGTTTGCTGCTGGCCTCTCGGTTGACCCGTTAAGTGTAATTGAATTTAAACGGCAATTGTCTTGGCGAATGCAATAAATGCATTTTGCGTTGTGCAAATCACATTCACGCTCAGTGGCTCTCAAACTGCGGCTTAACGGTGCTGCAGAATGCCTAATGAGCGAGGGGGACGACGAACGGTAGAGCGGGACAGCAACTGCCGAAGCGGAATGCGGTTTAAAAATAAACCAAGCCCAGAGCGAGACAGCGAGACTGCGGGAGTAAGAGCGAAGGGGGTCCGAGCGCGAGAGGGGAAAGCGCGAAGCCAAAACGTGCTTTGGCTTAGACCCTATTAGCCTAGTTTACCAGAAATACTACAGACACTGGCCGAAGACGAAGAGAGCCAGGCTCAGAGACACCTGTGTTGTGCCAAAAGAGAGAGAGAGAGAGAGGGTCTTCCCCCTCGTTATGCTAATTTACAACCCAACTACAGGCGTAATTCTGTAATGAAAACTATTAAGTGAAGCTATTTGAATACTTGATTGCTTTAAGAAAAGTAATATAAATAATATTTGAAAGAATTCGGCCAATCTGATATCTGTTTTCCGAAATGTTAGTTTCTACTGCCCCCAAAACTAGTTTCCACCTAGGCAAGTTGGACTGTATAACTTGTATGGACTGACTGTCTGACAGGTTGGCAATTTTACGACCTGTTCGCACGCAACCAGGGAACTGCAGGGTGGAGATCTTCCCGATCGGGACTGGGAAGACCCTTCTTTTACCGCATACAGTTTCACAGATTCGGGAACCCTAGCGATTATGCAACACCTTGCACCTCTAGCCGGGCTTTTTATTATTGGCTTACTATATGTGGAGCATCGGACCGTAAAACGTCCGCAATTCTGTTTTACGATCTCTTCCACACGCCATTCCCATTCCCGCTTCCAGTTCCAGTTACTGTATAATTCCGGTTTTAGGACTCACCTTTGACAGCCTCGTAGTATCCCAAATCCAGCGTGAATGATTTACGTTGCTATCCTGGCACTAGCAAAATATATTATCTAGTGTATCCCAGCGTGGATCACGGCGACGGCGGCTTCTCTTCTTCGGCTTTAGCTGCTGCAATTAACATAAATTCCCGTATTTATTTGTTTTTTCGTTTACGATTTTCACTACGATCTCTCTCCCACTTCTCTTATTCGCGGCACTCACACGCACTCGCACACAAACAAGCGAAAGATGCAGAGGAGACGCGTAAAACCACGAAGATGGATATAAAAATGAACCAACGCGAACACGAGGATGAGGAGGAATAGAAACGGGAGAGGAGCCGTAGGTGGGGCAGGGGGGGTGGAGCGAGATCAGTAAACCGGAAAGTTGTTTTTGTTGCTCTGCCATAAGCGGCGGTCTTGTTGTTGTCTCTCTTTAGTTATACTTTTTAGGAAAAGAAAACGCCGAAAAAAGTGTTAAGAACTCACGAAAATCCACGGCTTTGGATTCAGATTCTGTTTTAATTTATGCCAGGAATTTTTGTCACTTGTTTGGCTGACCTTAATAACACATTCCAATGCACACACGCACACAAACAGCTCGCAAAAACCAGCTTTTTCGTTTTCCTCTTACTTGGTTCGTATCTCGGTTTTTTTGGGATCAGTAATTAGAAAGAGCCGGCGCAGCAACAGTTCTAATTAGACAAACTAGAGCAACAACAAGGGCTTGGGTACTAAGGGAGAGAGATGGAATTACGTTTTACTCAATGGCTCAGTTGTTTTTTTGCGCGGCGCTTCTTAATTTTTTCGTTGTTAGCGGTTTGGATTTGGTATTGTTTAGCGCGCGTCTTGTCGCTTTGCCGATTTTTTTGATTTGTTGAAAAATGATCAATTTCCAACCTACCGATATTTTTGTTGGTATTTTTTATACTGTGTTTCTGGTCACTCTGAATTTCTACGCTGTTACTTAACATTTTACACTTTACGCGTCAAGATAAAATTTACACATTTACGTTTACAGATACATGAAATTGGCAAATAGTTTAATTTATTTATTTGTTTAATGTAGTATGCTGCTTTGTTTAAAACTAGCATAGAACATAGAACTTTCCGAATTGAATTTATTGCTTTTTCGGCATAGTTGTGAGTCTTTGAAAATTAGATTTGTCGAACAATTTTCTCACTAAAGAATATACAAAAAAATGCATTCAAATTATATCGGTTTTAGGTTAGAATTTAACTAGAAAATAATTCCGCACTTCAAAATACTATAATTACATAAATAATGAATAATAGAATAATAAATAATTATGGAAAGGCACCAAATTTCTAAACAACACAAGAGTGTTATTGTTTGGACTTCGGATGAATTCCCATGAATTTTTTATATCCAAAACTGGTTATCTCATTTCAGTCAGAAGCTAAAACACACCGAAGTAGTTATTTCCGACCCTATAAATATATATTCTTGATCAGCATAAAAAACAGTGTCGATATAGATTACTCCGGACGAAAACGTTTTTTTTTTAACTTTGGCCAAAATTTGAATAAACGATAAGGGGTTACATCATTCATATTGAACATTTTAACATGTTAAACTAAGTATGCATATTTGTTAAGCTTATAAAAACTAGCACAGAACAGTTTTGAGTTTATTTTTAATTTGATTTGTTGTTAGGCTGCACCAGCGTGACTCACGCGAGGAAAATCTCTTCACGGTGTCATCCCTAGTTCTCCTCTTCTTCTGAAAAATACAAACCGAAAACATGAAGAATCTTTTTATTTTTGTTTTTCTAATGTTTACCCTCGTACTTTGTGGCCAATGCAATGGAGAGGTCTGTAAGAAGTTGCTGGGCGATTTGGGCGAAGGCAGATGCATTTCATCTACTGTGCCACCACCAAGTCTGTGCCCGTGAATCTGTGCGTTGGATGCGACCTGGAGTACCACAATATTGTCGGCCTCTACAATAATCTCATGAAGAACGAGAACTGTTCCAAGCGCTACCTTGATTCGGACCGCATCAACATTGTGCCCACCACGCAGGGCATCCTCACGAATCTCTGGCAAAAGGCAAACTGCGATGGTAAGTGGTATTTTAAAAAGGGATTCCCAAATATCTCACAGATGTTCCGTTTCCCCACCAGATTGTGCAAGGGACAATAACTCGAAAAGGTATGATAATTACTCTACCATATTCGATTCCTGCTTGACCAGGAATAAGGACAACGGTGTATGGCCTGCAAGCTGGACTACCTCAACTTGAATACCTTTACAAGAACATGGAAAAGGCAAGCAAGGCCAAGTATGCTTTGATCTGCAGATAATGTGAGTATTTTAAAGGGCAAGTTATGATTTGGTCTTACTAGAAAATCCTTTAATGGCATTCCAGATGAACCGCACTCGCCTCAACTGGTCCAAGACCCTGAAATGCTGCCAGCGTGAAAGCAAGTTGGAAAACTTTTGATCGCCGTGGCCGTGGTTGTTCTCCTGCCCATTTTCACCTTTTATGTTACGGCAATTGTGGTGACCAAGCGCCGGGAAGCCAACCATGGTTTGCTCAACGAGCAGGGTAAGCCAGGACATCCTTATTCAGTTGAGAAAGTAACTACTAAGATACCTCTTTGTAGAACCCGAGTTGGATGCTCCTTCCACTGCAACAATTATTAGCGCTGCTGTGCTGTCCACTCGCAGTGTCGATACCGCTGAAGTCTTGGCCACAACGGAGAAGATAGCCAATGTGCTGAATCAAGCCCGTGTTGATCTCTCTGATGATTCCAACAACGATGAGAGACCGAATTCGAGAAAGAAGAAAGCAACTCGTCCCGTCTTGAAATTTGATTCTTCCAGCGACGACGACGAGCAATTGAGATCGAAAGTGTTGCCCACAGGGACTACTGGTCAGGAATCGGATTACTCCAGTGATGATGAACCTCTGGTGAAACCCAAAAGAGCCTAAGGAAACCAAAGAAAGGCTCTTGATGGTAAGATGAAATCAAAGGAATATCTTGCCTTTCAGGCTTAAAAAGCAAAAGTAATTTAATGAAAAATATTCCTATTACGAGGAATTCAATTTCTTACATCTCTGCTCATTACTATATTTAAGGGAACAACTTCTCCTACTCTCAAGTTGAGATATTTTCTATATAACAAATCCATAAGCCATATAATATATACATATGTGATAACACAATAAAGTACCAAACATTTTATATATTTATAAACAGAAGAAGCTTCAATGTAGGCAAATATCTGTGAACGTCGAACAGCATTGCCAAGCCAATGCCAATCAGGATACTGAAGATAGGCATTGGCTTAGGGAGTTGAGAATTCGATTTCTTATTTTTTGAATGCTAAACTTCTGCCCAATTTTCATGTAGCATTTTGTATGCCCTTTATTTATTGGCAAGTTACCATTGCGCTTAAATCTAATTATATGCGAAAGAAGATCAGGGTCATCAACAACTTGGCAAGGGCCCTTCCACCGGTTTTAGGGTTCTAGCTTACGATCTATGCTCTTAATTAGATAACAAATTAACAATGGAAATGCATTAACCGTGATTCGTTCCGTTTATCCGTAGGGAGCATAGAGGTTGCCATGGGTGGAGCTCGTCTGGTAGTGAACCAAACTCCCATGGGTCTGCTGGGCCGGCTGGTAGTACGCCTGATGGTGATACAACGAAGGTGGCGCCGGCTCGTTTACCTGAATCTGGTGGTAATTGGTGATGGGTTCATGTTCCACCACTCGCGCACCGTCTGGAATGGATGATTCACCACAATGCGACGCTTGTGGAAGGTCTCGCTGGTGGCTGCCGCATCGGTGGGCGCAGCCGTGGCGGCTATTACCCGCTCATTGGGCTTCAGGTGGCCAGCTCCGCCATTCACGGTCACGTCCACATCCACGGGCTGGGCCTTCGTCTGAGAGGGCGTAGCCTGAGTGGCAGTAACTTCGGAATTGGGTGCTTCTACCAGACGCTCGGATTTCTGCTCTCGCATCTCCGCCGATCTCTGCTGCTGCTGCTGGCTCCTATCGCAGTCCGGGGCGATGGTGAGGAAACCATAAGGGGCTTCTGTGCTTCGCTGGCTATTTGGATTTGGATGTGAGTGTTCGCCGGTGAGTCGTTTTCCTTTTTGAGCTCTTCTCTGGGCGCTTCTTTGGGCGCCTCAACTAATCTAGAAGACTTGCTGTCCGGACTGAATCTCATCTGGGAGTAGGGAGCACTGTAGTCCAGTTCTTCAGCAACTCTCTGCTCGAGGGCTGACTGTAGTAGGCCCTGGGAGCTGGAGTCTTGGCATATACCACCGTAGCTCCCACATGATTGCGCAGATAGGGCTTGATCTCTGTAACCTGAGCAGGCACCTCCTGGATGCGCCTCTCCTTGAGCGGAGTCTGGCGACTACGCCCCAGGTAGATGTTGTGCTGCGACGGCGGCAGATGGATCTTGTGTTCATGCTTAAT